CGTATTGGTATTTTAATACATAACAGATTTCACTACTAGAATAGGCCAACATCAGGAATAAAATCAATCAGGATGAAATTTTAGAGTACTATTACGAGAACTTTTTGACTACCCTATGTATATTGGAGCAAGAAATGGGACATGAATATCGTCGATTTGACTTATGATGGAAGTCTCCTAACTGATTAGTCAATTTTAAATTGAGACTACATACATTATGTAGAACCAAATGAGCTATAAAACACACTGAAAACAGTTCAAATTCTTGACTTGTTACTGTAAAGATATCGAATTTTTACGATCGTTTTTAAATCAAAAGACTAGATACTACGAAAAGATTATGCTATGAAATTTAATTTAATAAATTTATTGAATTGTATTTTCGCGCGAATTTATTCAAATAAAAGCAATGAGTCAAAGTCAAATTGAAAATAATGTTGAACTCAGTACTATTGCAAAAATGGAATCAAAACAAATACCATTCGCTTATTCATTCAATGTTGAAACACCTAGTCAACTTGTTGATATCATGACTGATCAAGGTAAACTGTTGTTTTTTTTTTTCTTATTTACTCTTGTTATCAATATAAATAATAATCAATAGGAGTGTATTTACCAATGGATATTGGTCTCAATCAAATGGCAAATATACGTTTTATAATATTGACACGTCATTTACATCAAATACCATTTGATATAATAAAAATTGATGATTATTGGTTTATAGAAAAAGTTTTTCATAATGATTTGAAGAATTATTTAAAGCAAGGAGATCGTATTCTTGTAAGTTAGTTTTATTGATACGTTCAATAAATATTTTCGAATAATAAATTAAAGATCATAAATAAAACAATGATTTCTGATCAATTACAAGAAACAGATATTTTTAAATTAATACTTCATTCATCAATTCCATTTATTCTATGGGTTACTTGGGATATAGGTAAGAATTAAAATAATAATCTAAATTAAATTCAATATATTTACTTTTTTTTATTATTGATGTAGATAAATTTTTGAAATATCAAACTATATTTCGACAATGCGAAAATGAATATGCCTATCTCAATGCAAAAGCTTATTTACTCCAAACACATCATTATAATGATATTAGCTTGTATGAAACATACATCATAGTTGTGTTTATTTTTTTATCATTAATTTCATTTAGATACGATCATCTTGCATTTATTATTGCTAATGCGATTCAAAATCCACAGAATAATATGGGTAAGATGGCAGTTTTACTATTGAGAATGTGCAGAGTAGACTTGTTTTTGTATTCCGTACTGTGACTGAAAAAAAAAATATTCTTAATCTTTGGTGTATCCTGATGGGTGGTAGGTTAGGATAACTGAGAGTATCTCTATTACACATGCCGTTCTCAATTGTAATACATTATAGGTGATCTCTTAGAAAAATTAAATCAATATGCACAATATCCAATCTTACAATCAGATTTACGTCCAACGGAGGACACTACTAAATTGACAATGGTTAAAATATATGCTCAATTACTTGAAGTTTATAATAAATAAAATAACACTCTTCAATTGTTAATAATAATAATTTTAGGGAAAAGAACGAGATTTACTTCAATCTAAAGATTATATGATCAAAGCTGTTCCTTATCTAATGGAAATGGCTTATTATTGTTCGAATGCTGGTTATGGTATTCATACAACAGAGATAATATTGTATAAAATTTTTTTTCTCATATATATGTGGGAGTGACCAGTCAGTATGGTACCCCATTTTGATACACTCCTATTGTAAGGATAAAACATACTATTGTTCGGGTCATATAAGAGAGGATCCTAGATAACCCTGAATTGGCCCGAACAACATCATGTTTTAT